TACACGAAAGAAACTGTTAGCCATCCCGAACCACATCTCGATGATGCAGAATGTGATGATAAGCCTTTAAGAATGTCTCTCAAAGAAATCGATTATGATTCCAAAACGGTCGAAGATACTTTATCTCCAGTAAGAGCACAGCAGGAGGAATCACCTGAACAAGATGAAAATAAATTCATGAGCGAACGCATTCCTCCTGGGACTGATGAAGATCTAGTGAGTAGTGATTCCTGGAAAAAATCTGTGGAAGAGCAACTACTTGAAACTGGTGATAAAGAACCAGAACTTGAACCGAGGGTCGAGGAAGAATATGTCGGTAAAAGGGGGATAGAATCAGATAGAGGGACGGGTGTTATTTCCCCCAAAACAGCAGCTGTGTTACCCATCGTAGTACCGGTAGAAGCTATCGTAGCATCTAGCCAGAAAATAGCGGAGGTTCCTACACGGGAAGGAAAAGTAGAATCGCCTAAGGAAGAATCTCGAGTTCTTGTCGAGGAACAGGACAGCACGTCTTCCACGAAAGAGACTGCTGAACCTGTAGGGAAGGAGCGAGCAGAGTCTCCTGATGAGAAACCCTTAGTCGGTGTAGAAGAAAAGAGAGCAGACTCCACTGGTGAGGAGCTTGATATAGATGTTGGGAAAGGAACGGCAGAATCTCCTGAGAAGGCGGCTGTAGTACCTGAAAAGGAAGAGAGGGCAGAATCTCCTGAGGAGGCTGTAGTACCTGCAGATGGGGAGTTGATAGAATCTCTTAAGGAGCCTATAGTACCTGACAAAGAAGAGAGGGCAGAATCTCCTGAGAAGGTGGATGTAGTACCTGAAGAGGAAGAGTGGGTAGAATCACCGGTGAGGAAGGTTGTAGTACATAAAGAGAAGGAGAGGGCAGAATCTCCTGAGAAGAAGGTTGTAGTACCTGAAAAGGAGGACAGGGCAAAATCTTCTGACGAGGTTCGAAAGGCTGAAGGTAAAGAGAGTGCAGAATCTTTGACAAGGGAAGCTATAGTACCTGAACAGGAGGCGAGACCAGAATCTCTTGAGGAGACAGTAGTAGCTAAAGAAGAAGAGTGGGTGGAATCTGCTGAGAAGGGGGTTGTAATACCTGAAGAGGGACGACGGGCAGAATCTCCTGAAATGGCGGCTGTGGTAGCTGAAGAGGGAGAGAGGATAGAAAGTCCTGAGAAGGATGTTGTAATATCTGAAGTCGCAGGGAGTATGGAATCTCCTGTGAAACAGGTTCCTAAAGAGAAACTAAGAGCAAAATCGCCCCAGATGGAGGATGTAACACCTGTAGAACAAGAGAGAGTAGAATCTCCGGAGAAGGAGGCTGTAGCATCTGTAGAGGAAAAGAGGGTAGAATCTCCGGCGACGGAGGATATAGTTCCTGAAGAGGAAGAGAGGGCAAAACCTGAGGAGAAAGCTGTAGTACCTGAAGAGGAAGGGAGGTTAGGGTCGCCGCTTGGCGAGACAATTCTACCTCTTGCAAAAGAACAAGAGTCAAAGCGTACTGTTAGTGAAGGTATGGATGGCAACGATACTGATGGACATTCATGGATGCGATCTGTCATGGATCAGTTACTGGAATGTGGAGATAAGGACCCAGAACTTGAGCGACCATACACGAAAGAAACTGTTAGCCATCCCGAACCACATCTCGATGAGGCAGAATGTGATGATAAGCCTTTAAGAATGTCTCTCAAAGAAATCGATTATGATTCCAAAACGG